ATATATATATATATGTACATTTGTTAGTTTATGAACCATATTTTTCTATTAAAAAATAAACTTTTAGCGTTTTCTTATTTATATATTTACCATAAAAATTTATATAATATTTTATGAATGTCCAAGAACGCGATTCCGTAATTGTTCTTTACACGTCTACCGACAATTATCGGTGTCGTTGCGCAGATATTTTATATGGTGAAAAAGCTGCGTAACGATACCGACAACTGTCGGTAGACATGTAAAACAGTTAGGATATGTCCACACAAACTTACATAGCCGCATAAACGTACGCATAAAGAAAATTATCTAATCACATTTACGTGCGTCTTTATAGGATAAATGCGATTGGATAATTTTCTTTATGCATTCGCTTATGCGCTAAGCAAATTTTTGTGGATATACCCTTACGGAATCGCGCCCCAGGTCCTATATTCTATAACTGTTTTACACGCCTACCAACAGTTGTCGATGTCGTTGCGCAGATATTTTATATGGTAAAAAAGCTGTGCAACGATACCGACAACTGTTGGTAGGCGTGTAAAGACAGTTACGGAATCGCGCCCAAGAAAAAGTAACAAAAAATAATAATGACTCGTTTTTGAGTAATGGTAACGGGAACGAATTACTTTTTTACAAAAATAATTAGAAATTAGAAAGGGCATATAAAAGTCAATAACGCAAATCGTATAATACGAAAATCAAAACACAAAATATATTCTAAAAAATAATAAATAAAATGCCACTTTGAGCTGATACTGGTTATTAGTGTGTATTTTAATATCATTCAAAGTGAATATTATGTATACGTTTCGACCTACGGTCAAGGTCCTCTTCAGTGCAAAAAAAATATATTAACAAAATTACATAATGATAGCGCATACAAGTATAAACTAATAACATAAAAAGCGAGAAAAACGTGATGATGTCCGAGTTAATCTGGTCATTAAATTACTAAAAAGAAAAATATTTTTTGTTTTAAAACGACCCAAAAGGTTAAAAATAATTTAAAAAATGCTAACATGAAATTATACGCGAAAAGTGATAAAAAAAAACTTACTTGACTGTCAAGATTGAACTGTTTTTATAAGATTTATTGCACATGTTCCATTAAACTGTTCCATTTACTGTGTAATACAAATGTGAATAAATTAAGTTAATACAAATAACAATAAAAATCCAACTTTAGTTCGCTTACATGAAACAAAATTTAAAGATATTAGACGACATAACTATTTGGTAGACAGATATTAAATGAAAATTGAGAGAAACAGTGGACAACAGAACATGTATTTATAAAGATAATAAGTAAAAATATAAATAATAAATAACAAAGTATAAATGATACAAAATATATTGTACTCTGTAAATTAAAATTTGACTAATATTATATGTTTCGGCTTCTAGATTGAATCGCTCTTCAGATATTCTATCAATGCAGTAGTGTTGTTAAAATAATGAACGCAATAGAGATGGATAATAATATACAAGCATTAGAGGCCCGATGAATGCTTTATAGAAAAACAAAAATTGCTCAAAAACGATTATTGGAAAAGACTCCGGATAAACTTTATGGAATTGAATTTCGGTCGAATTGACTCAAAATTTGATATATTATGTAGAGCTTGTCGTCCTGATGAAAAATCTCTTCAGGCGCGACTATAATGGATTGTTTCTCCTCTACCAGACGTTATTTTTCAAAACGAGTTAATATTATACTACAATATCTTATTTTAAACTAGTACAGTGCATTCCTATGTCCTTATTTGCAATTTCTATTAAGTTAAAAAAATTTACAAGGCAATTATTTATAATATTGACTTGATTGCTTCTTACAAATCGGAGTGCTTGTTTATTTTAAATCCCCTCGCCTTTCACAGATTAGGATGCTTATTGTAAGTCTCCTCGCCTCTCATAAATCGTAGATGCTTAAATCTCTAAAATCAAGTTATTGACCTCGATATCTTTATAGCTTTTTTTGTAAGAAGCAATCAAGTCAATATTATTCTTATAACTTTTTTTAACTTAAAAATATATACAGAAATTGCAAATAAAGATGTAAGAATGCACCGTATTCGTTGAAAATAAAGTGTTGTGGTATTAGTCCGTTTTGAAAAATAATGCCTCTTAGAGGTGAAATGATTCATTATAGGGGATCATGCCTGTCGAGACTTTTTATCAGGACGACAAGATCTACATTAAATTTTCAGCCAATTCGATCAAAATTCAATTTCCATAAGGTTTGTGCGGAGTCCTTTCTTCATGTTCAAAATGGTCATACAGTTGTATTTCGCATGACTTTTTTAAACAAGTAACGAGTAAGAATAAGAAATTACTTTTCAAAAAAGAGAACGATAAGGATACTTTTGTAAGATAACGTTGCCAACTCTATTAGCAATGTTAGTATGACTTTGGATAGAACTGTTAAGATAACGTAAAAATCACTTCAAAAATTTTTAATAAAGACCCCTTTTTTATTGCATATTCTTATTACATTACCTTAAGAGCTTTTCAAAATATTATAAAAAAAGGGTTATAAAAATTTTTAACTTTAAAATAAAATTAAAAATTAAAATAAGTAGAACAACCTATGATAGCCTCATATATATAACATCAAGGTTATGATCTTGAACAACATTTAAAAGATTTTAGGCAGTCGGACATCTTGGACAATGCTATTGTCAGTGGTTGGAATATTCACTTTCATATATATAGTGCAAAAAACGCATATATATAGCGCAAAAGCAAAACTTTCGCATTATTTTAGACTTTCGTTTTTGTTTTTGTTATCGTATAATTATATGAAAGTTTTAGCGAAAGATTTTGTCTGACTCGTAGGATTCACAACATCGAGGGCACATTGGATGGCAGAAAAGTGCAGTGTTTATGTTTTATTCATTAATTTAACAATCTAGAGACACTTTAAACTTTAGAGTTTAAGTGTGTTTATTGAAAACAAATAAATATTAGATAGTAATTTGATTTTATCAATAGTTGAGTTTCGAAAGATCGTTCGAACAAGGCGGATGTGTTTTGTCTCGGATGTTGCACCACTTCGGTTATTTTTTTTTGGAAAGCGTTACTGATTTTTATTGTGCATTTGCATTTTTCATACAGAAATTCCTTCATTCGTCCGAACATGCGCCGTGCGATCGTAAACGCAGGCGCCTAGTGCAGTGCTTGGAGGATCATATTGCCATTTTCGATCGTGTTACATTATCCAACCGAGAAGGTTGCTCGATTTGAGGTATACTGTTTTTTCGCAAGTCATTCTATTTTTCGAATATCAGTAGCTCAGTTTCAGCCAAATTTGATCAATAAAAGAGGAAGAAGAAGAAAAACAAATCATTGTTTTCACACAAATTGCTGTGTGATATAAATTATAGCTAAATTATAATAATAATTAAGTGTATAAGTGATAATAATATTATCATGCAATAATTTGAATTGAAATCAGTAATATTTGTTTTCATTACTTTTAGAGAGAGAGAGAGAGAGAGAAATTTTTACATATTATTTTTCCTAACTGTCAATTTCATCATTCAGCAGAAAGAAACAAGATCTTTTGCTTTTGCGTTCATATTATAATGTCGCATTTACTCTCGCAAAAAAATCTTTTTCTTTCGCTTTCGCATTTGCTTTTGGTTTGACCACTTTCATTATAATCCTATTTATTATAGTGCTTTGAAAAGCTCTCAAGGTCCAGAAAAAAAATATAAAAAAATATGTACAAAATAGAAATTTTGATTAAAAAGTTTTGAAGCGATTTTTATATTACCTTGGCGACTTTATTACATTAACATTGCTACCTAATATGCCAATAAAAATCTTAACTCTTATCTGAAACATTTTTCAAGAAAATACATATTTTTTTTAATAACAAGCTTGATACGGTCACTCTATTATCTGTATTATATACGTAGTATAAAGATCACTACGTACTACGAAATTTTCGACGACGACGGCATCATATTTAGTACAAGAAAATCTAAATATGTGCCACTTTTTTTCTTCTATAACACTTAAAAAAAATTTTTTGTTTAACCGTGCAATGGATATAAATGTGTGTGTGTGTGTGTGTGTGTGTGTAGGCGCGCGCGCGCATTGTATAGCATCTCAGCGTCAAAGCTTTTTATTATTTTTATTTACTTTAAGATGTCATATCTTTCTTATTAAAAAGATGGTAATAAATATTTAAAAAATACGATAATATAATACAAAGTATCAACAAACAGGATGCTTTCAAAAGGTCTTTCGCATTGAGCTGTTTGTCACCTTTCGAAAGCATCCACAGAGAAATCGTCACGAGTATAACAAATCTGGAAAAAGAGTTAACTCAATAATACAAAATCAATTCAAAATTTATTGAATGTAAAAACGCGTGTAAGACAGCAAAAGTTATGTTACGTGCAATTGACGAACAAACTCAAGTTCGAATTTATGAGGAATATATAGCGTCGTACCTTTTGAAAGCATCCAGAGCTCTTTGGAGCTGAAGACACCTGTTGCAAGGATCGTATCATTGCAGACGACACCATTATATAGTTCATGATATCCTGTACCTGGGAACAAAACCCAGCGAATAATATTTAATATCCGCTCATTGCCAGAATTATTAAACCCAATATATATGAGTTTGGATATGTGTCGGAATGTAAAAATTTTATAAGAAATAGGGATGCATCGGATGTCTGGAAAATCCAGATCCGGTATCGAGTATTATCCAATACTTTTTTACTATCCGGTTGGATAGCCGAATGTTATTACATCCAACAATATATATATATATATATATATATATATATATATACTATATATATATATA